TCATTCAAACGCCTCAGCATATAGGATTATACAATGTGCACAAGGGCCATATTCTCTCATGCTAGAGAGAAGGAAATAAAACAAGGCACAGGAAGAAATTTCCAGAAAACACTGACGCAGAAGGAGACATATAAAATAAAACATGGCGAACAGCATCGCTGTTGCAGCAAAGGCACCATCAGGGACTATTTGGGTCAGCTGCCCACCCTGTTAAACTAATAGTGCCCAACCCTAGGAAGGGAATCCTGGTGCTAATGAACTCCCTGGCAGGCTCTCTTGGATTTAAAGGCCCAGGATTTAACATGGGGGCCTCACTTGAAGCTCACTGATGGCAGCAGGGGCAGAGGGACAGGACGGGGAGCTCGATGCCTCCTGCCAGGGCAGGAAAGAGGGGACATGCTTGTCTGTGAGGCCACTATCCCCAGGGCTCAGGTGGGACTGGTCGCTCAGCTTGGCGTACGGGAGCTGGTTAGGATACCTCTCACAGCATCACCCTCTGTCAGGCACAAAGGCTGACAGGGGCAAGGGGCAAAGAGGGTCTGCAGGTTTTGCTTTTTGAAAATTTCTTTTAAACTGAGTCATTCCCCTGTGATGATTCTTCAGAGTCACATTATGTATTAAAACTGGGGTGTAAGCCAGAAAAACATGCAGCATACTGTCCTCTGTAGGCACCCAGCAGTGCTAAGAGCAGGATGGAGGCAGCGGTATCTGCAGCCTCTCAAGAATGTCTTCTGCTCTTTTAATAGTTCTCCTTGGGGGGGTGTGGAGGTTTGTATCGCGTATCTTTCTCCTGTTGCTGAATCAAAAATAGTACACTGAGTCATTTGTTACAGGCAGTTAGACAGTCACCAGCCACACTGAGCGCACGTCCCACTGCCCGCCCTAGTCCCACTTACCCAAGGCCTCCTTCACACAAGGGTCTTCTCACCTCAAGCAGCAGCTTTGCTGGAGTGAGGGCTGCAGCGCTGGTTATCCAAAAATCCACTGGAATGGGGGGGGGGGGCAGTTGGGGTTTGAGATATCCATCTTGGCATGGTGCAGCTGACCCTGGATGAATGCAGGGCCACACAGGAACATGCACTGCAAAGAGCCTTGATCCCACCCATTTTTAGTTGCAACACCAGTATGACTTTGAGTATGGGGAGTGAGAAAGGTGTAACCAGGGAGCCTAAAATGCAGTGATTTTGAACCTCCTTCTCTCTTCCTTCAACCCGAAGAACTAAACCACTTTCCCTTCCCTTGCAGGAACCTGCAAAATTAACAACAGGGAACAATCCATGGTAGTTAATCAATATCCCATTCCTATGAATAGATATTCCCATGCTTTGTACAAGGAATCACTGTGAAATTTGCAAGCTTGGCAGTTTCACAGAGGTTTTTGTGTTTCTAATATCTATTTTATTTTTGTATTTTATTTTATGAAGCACTCTTGTGCTTTAACCCAAATCAAGAGAATCTGTACCAGCAGACCTACAATAATTACCTTCAGGGGTGACAGATATACAAAGAAAGAGTAGAAGAGGAAGGAAAACATGAGGAAGCAAATTCAGATTTCAAAGAACTATTGATTATTCATTAGTTTGATATTATTAGCTATTAATAAATAACTAACCATGAGAATCACTCGTCACAAAGCCCTCTTAACAGTGATTCCATCAGGGTTCTGTTGTGACTTGTACCTTGCTCAACCTGCAGCAGTATTTACCCACCAGACTGAGAAATACTGATCATGCCCAGCCTGCATCTCGCCTTACAGGGCAGGCTGAATTTTGACATTGACCCGGTTGGTGATCTGTGCTGCCTTGTTAAAGACTTTTAAATCAGTCTCTCGTCTCTGATCTCTCATCTCAGCATTGTCACACCTTTGCTGGTGTCAAGGGCTTCAAAAGACAATAGTTTATTACTTCTTGAGATTGTTTTCCCACTGTGTCACTTGGGGATTTTAAATGCATTTATTTTGTGTCCCCGACCCTCTTTTGCCTTAATATGCAGCCTCTGGAGTTCACTTCTGGTTTGTACCTGTTTTATAGGGACACTGACCTACCGAAGTATGCTGCTGTAATACTATACTTATCATGTGCCTTGGGGGATAAAGAGACAAAGTCAGACCTTGTCCTACTCTAATTTTGTATACATATGTCACTTCATTTCATTAGAAAATGCAGCATAAACTGATATGCCCAGTGGCTATGTTCTCACCAGCAGTCACTACAAGTATTTTAAAACTCCAGTCTGTTTCTGATTAATAAGCCCTGTGGTCCTTCTGTCCATCCAAACATCTTAACAAACTCCAGTTCAAATGCACTAGAAAGTGTGAACTATGAGCATAAACCAATAATTGTCTCCAGACTCTGAAGCACATGGAAGGCAATTCCCAGGGACACAGCTGGTTCCTCCACACCCTAAACTCAGCAATGGGTCGCTACAAAACCTACAGCTTCCCACTTCTTATGTCCATGTCCGCCCCGCTCAGGGCAAGCCCCAGGCACATGGCCTCCAGCTTCCTTCACGCTGGTTTCCATGCAGAGGTCATGTGGAGAGGTAGCAGCAGTGGGAGCCACAGCACGCTCCCCTTAGCCACTCAGCAGGATCCCAACTGCGATACCACCTACCAAAAAGTAGACATAGGCTGAGAAAGAAAGTTCAAAAGCCCAATCATTTTGGACTTCAGTTATAGAAAAAGCAGTGTTTGCTCATTGCTAAGAATGAGGACTTGTCTACATCAAACGACAGCACTGACGCCTTCTTCAGAACGTTCCTACAGAGAATGGGGGCGGTCAGCATAAGTACAACTTTAAGAACAATTTCAGATATTTGTGTTCCCAAACACTTTGTAAATGACAAAATTAAAGGATCTTCACAAAGAAGTAATACCTCTACTACAAAATAAACACACTTACTCTTCCATGCTCTGTCCCTGAAGTACTTCCGAATATTTTAAATGGTGATAGAACAGAAGAATTAAAAATTACAAGAGCCCTGAGATTCAAAATCAAGAACACTTTGACTGAAATAATTCAATACGGTGATCTTAATAGTACAAATCCTGCCTTCCTCATATTATGATGCCTATTTATTGCAAGACTTCAGAAAATTAGGCAGATTCTTGTAAAAGAAGCGATGTAAAAGGTCGTCCTGAAAGCAGCCCAGTGAACGCAAGCTGTTTCATCCCGTCTTTCCCCTCCCACCTCACAGTGAACAAAGAATTTTCTGCCTTTCTGTAGCACAGATTTCCCTGAGGGAAAAAGAGCCTTGCATCAGTTCCTGAAAACAGTTGCATGGTAGTGCTGCTGAAATTGCTTCACATTTAGGTCAAATCTTGACAAGAGCTTTAAAATGCTACCAGAGCTGAAGAGGTTTTACGCGAGAACCTTAAGGTACATCTTACATACTGAAGTGAGGCACTAAGGAGGCCAAGGAGAAGCCAACAATTTCAAGTCACTGGAAAGCTGAATCTAATATTTTATCCCTGACTCTTGTAAGACTAGAGCAGTAGTATTGTGACAGGTGATAAAGAACAATGAACTTTCAAAGGAACAAAGGTGTCTAGGAGATGCAAACAGCTCTGCTGTAATGGTGATGGAACAGAGGCAGTAATAGGGAAAGCTGGAAAATAATGTGACAATTAGACTCAGTTTTACAGAACAAATTTAATCATCAAAGGCATTTAATAATTCCCTACTTTAAAAAATATGATTTTTTACAATTAAAAATGTAAAATATGCCTTTCCAAATTTTGTTTGCTGACAACTTGTTAATGCTAGTTTGACTGTCTTTTCATTGTGAAACACATACCATATTTTTAGAGCTGTTGACAGAATAGTATTGATGTATTGGGAACCTGGAAACTGAACAGGCATTTGTTGTCTTAACTGCCAGTCTGAAAATGCTGATACAGGTCTTCATAAAACTGAAATACATAAATATTGAAAATATAACTACTATTTTATCATTTTAAAACAACCTTTTATTTTCCCCAAACATTATTTCCTTACAGATGCCTGAAAACTTTCCATAGTCAGTACGGAAGTTTTGTCACATTTTTGAATGAATTTGTCATATTGTTACCCTGACAAGACATCAAATATATGCCCTATTATTGCCACCACAAACTATTTCAGATGTCTGTCATGAACAACGTAACACACAAGAACTTGATACTAGCAGCTCTTTGAATAATAAAGTTTGAAAGTAACTTGCTGCCTCTCTGCACAGCTTGTGTAACCAGGTGTTGGATCAGTTCTGTAATGCTTATTTAGGTTTTACTTGGACAAAATTATCTTTTTTCACTTGACTGGCAGTTTGCCCTGTTAATAGCACGCTGTAGTTAATAATCCTGCTATCTCCTAAAACCCAGCATAGAAATAACATTGCTGCTGTTAGTCATATCCCCAGATAGAGGATTCCCAGGAGTGTGCTAAAGGCAATTGTTCCTATTGTTACTGTGGAGCTGAGGGGATGAATATGGCTCCTTCATGGTTGCCGGTAAATGCCAGATCGTGAATTCAGCTAAAAACCAAGGCAGGCCCCAGCTATGTAGGGAGGTCAGGATGTAAATGGAGAGGGAACTGTTTCATCAGCAGGGGTACGTTTTGCAGCACAGCATCCCAGAAGTGACGACGCTGTCTTACACATCCCTCTTCTAAGCACAAAAACCTCATCTTCTTTTACAAAAGGGAAAGGAGTGAAAGGTTTTGTGTACTGCATGCAAATATAATTTCAGCATTCAGGATTGCCCTTTCATTTAAAATATCTAATTCTATTTATATTCCCTGATTATGATTATCTAACAGAATTCACTCTAAGCAAAAGATTAATTTTTTCCTTGGTATCCTATTGCCATGTGGCTCTGTGTGTGCGTGTGGGATGCTGCTTCTCTTCCTTTAGAAATCAGAATACAGAATTTTTCCAATTTATAATTAATTTCAGGTGTGTACTATCTGCTACTCTTTTTAAAGGCAAAGCATTGCTTACTATCAGAAACGTACAGTCCAAAAATGTATTCCTGAATGTTTTATTTTGGAAGTGTAAAGGGTTTCAAAATAAACAAAAGTAAATATTCAAATACATTTCGTATTGCATGTGGTAGGACTGGCTTCATACAATACAATACAGATGAGGCAAATCTGGCAGTTAATTTCTTTGAGATACAGAGCATAATACACAGACACCTCCAGATCTGATCTCGTGTCATACTAACATTGCCTGACCTTTTTGTTATCATGTTAATCCAGCCTACTTAATTATTAATATTTTATTTTGCTATATTGATCATTCAAGTTAGAAAAAAAACCAGTTAAAAACTACTGACTTTAGGACACTGCAAGACCCTACGTACTGCAATCTCTGAGGATAAATATACATTTATTTTTTTGAGAAAATATGTTATTACCTGCAGATGAATCAATGCAACATGATCGTGCAATTAAATATGACAGTCTGAATTGAAATTTAAAGCCGTAGAGCATGATTTTCCTACTGCCAGTGCTGCTTAAAACCTCTCACACCTTTAAAAAAATAGAATTAACTTTAGACTTCTCACACAATAAATAACACCAGAACATACCTTGTGCTACCAACCTGAATTTTAAAAAAAGTAAGAGGCCACCTCAGTGTTTTGAGTTTATGAGATCTTTCAGACACAAAGCCCTAACAGAGTTTCCCAGTCAAAAGGCATCAGGAAGGCTCACCGCTTATGGTAAACTTGGGCTTTAGCTTGACAGACCTCTTCCTTATTGTGCCTTTAGGGGACAACGGCATGGTGTCCATAATGCTCCTGTCCTCCTCCAGCTGCCTAGCAGTGCACGAAGGGGTGGGCACTTTCACTGTGTTGCCAAATTTAGAGTAGTCCACAGAGTATTGCCCATCTTCCTCTGCCACGATGGGCACAAACCTTTGGCCCCAAAGGATTTCATCCGCCAGGTAGGAGGTTCTGGCTTGAGTGGTGATGCCGGTGGTCTCCACCACCCCTTCCAAGATGACGATGATCTCCAGGTCCTCATGGTGGTGAAGGTTCAGGGGTGAGATGTCGTAGAGGGGGCTGTTCTTGTCTATCACATGGTAGATGATGAGCGGGGAGACGAGGAAGATGCTGTTGCCCCCCACGGGGTTCTCCATCTGGATGTCAATCTGGTTGAGGGGCACCACCTCCCCCTCCAGGCTGGCGGTCTTCTTCACCACCTGCATGCGGATGGTGGCGCTGATGATCATGCTCTTCCGGAGGTCGCCCACCCGCAGCATGAAGCAGAGCTTGCCCTCCCGCAGGGCGATGACCGCATGCTTGCTGAAGATGAGGGTCTCGGCCCGGCGGTGGGCCTGCGAGGTCTTCATGAAGATGCAGCCCAGCATGATGGCGTTGATCACCAGCCCCACGATGTTCTGCACGATCAGCACCAGGATGGCAGCCGGGCACTCCTCCGTCACCATGCGTCCCCCGAAGCCGATCGTCACCTGCACCTCGATGGAGAAGAGGAAGGCGGAGGTGAAGGAGTGAATGCTGGTCACGCAGGGCACAAAGCCGGCCGGGGCGCCGGCCGCCCCCTCCCCGGGATCGCGCTGCAGCCGGGTGCTGTGGTCCAGGTCCCCGTGGGCGAAGGCGATGAGCCACCAGACCATGCCGAAGAGCAGCCAACTGCAGAGGAAAGACATGGTGAAGATGAGCAGCGTGTGGGGCCACTTGAGGTCCACCAAGGTGGTGAAGACGTCCTGGAGGAAGCGCCCCTGCTCCCGGATGTTTTTATGGGCCACGTTGCAGGCACCGTTCTTGCCGA